TTTTTTTTTTTTTTTTTTATGATAGTCACAGAGAGAGAGAGGCGCAGAGACATAGGCAGAGGGAGAAGCAGGCTCCATGTACCGGGAGCCCGACGTGGGACTGGATCCTGGGTCTCCAGGATCGCGCCCTGGGCCAAAGGCAGGCGCCAAACCGCTGCGCCACCCAGGGATCCCTATCTCATAGCTTTTATCTTTACTTTGTAACAAACATTTCAGACAGACATAGAAACTTATCTTTCATTTTTGCATTGGTATTAGTTGAATTGCTAAGGATTGTCCAAAAATATCTACAAGTCGGTCTTAGGTTACATTTTGATTTATAAAAGCACTTTTCCCTCTTTGATGATGAAAATATTTTGTCTGAATTCCCTGATTTTGGTCTTGCTGAAGTTGATACTGCTTTTGCTAATTTAGAATTCAGATCCGTTTATGACTTCATTTCACAATGTTCCAAAAACATTTACTTCTTAACATTTCTAGTTGAAGTATTTGCAAAGAACAGCAGCCTCTGGCAAATAATCATACAAACTAGGAGATGCCAACAAACTTATTTGGTATATTTGAATGTTACATTTGGATGTCCCATCAAGGGGAATAGCACCATGCAGAATCATAAGTCAAGATCGCCAATTTGCTTCCACGTGTTATTTTTTGAACACCATTGATGGGATTTGCATAAAGTATACTATCTATACATATTTATTTTATTTACAGGAATGACTCACAGTTGGTAGCAGACAGGAACATAAACAATAGTTATAATGGCAAGAGCTACCAGTAAGATTGAGTGATCAGATTGTGAACATTTCTCTTCTTTTTTATTTATTTATTTATTTATTTATTTATTTATTTATTTATTTATTTTATTTTATTTTAATTTAATTTTATGATAGTCACACAGAGAGAGAGATAGAGAGAGAGAAAGAGAGAGAGAGAGAGAGGCAGAGACATAGGCAGAGGGAGAAGCAGGCTCCATGCACCGGGAGCCCGATGTGGGATTCGATCCGGGGTCTCCAGAATCGCGCCCTGGGCCAAAGGCAGGCACCAAACCGCTGCGCCACCCAGGGATCCCGAACATTTCTCTTCTATGTCTTCCTGTTTTGACTCCTGGAAATGTTGACTTTACTCTTGGATTCCTGCTTTGGGGTTTGACTTCAGTGGATTCCTTCAAGTCAGTAATGGCTCTAAATTCATTACTATGCTTTAATTCTTGCTTGGTTGCAATACTTTTTCCTGTTTCACCAATTTCTTGACTAATTTGTCATGAGATTCAGAAAAATACATAAATTTCCCAAGAAATGCTGTAGAAAAATCCCTGCATAGAAACACTATGAGGGGGGATCCCTGGGTGACTCAGCAGTTTAGCATCTGCCTTTGGCTCAGGGTGCAATCCTGGGGTCCTGGGATCGGGTCCCGTGTCGGGCTTCCGGCATGGAGTCTGCTTCTCCCTCCTCCTGTGTCTCTGCCTCTCTCTCTCTCTCTATGTTTATCATGAATAAATAAATTTTTTAAAATAAATAAATCTTAAAAAAAAAAAGAAACACTATGAGGGGGCCTCTTCTTGACCTGATTAGAAGTTTAAACAATTAGTATGATGGCCATATTCTTGATTTAATTAAGCTTTGTTGCTTAAAGGCCTTCTTCTTTTACTGATTGGGGAAAAGTTTTGTCTCTTCCAACCCTTCAAGTATCTGGATTTCTGGACTTTTCCTGTTCTCTTGTTTCCATTGGCAATCTTACCATTTCTCCTCTGGGTTCACTTCTTTCTTAAAATATCTTGTCAGATGTTACTAATAGAGTAAACAAAATTGTTATTCAAACTCTTCCAGTAGAGATACTTCACTATATTATTTTTCTTCCAAGTATTGTAGGCAAGTTTACCAAATCTTTTACCACAGCAGAATGTGGAGTTGGAACTTTACCTATTGGAACTTTACCATGTGTCATCTAAACCAATGCAATATAGTTTATTAGTAGTTTTGTTCTTTCTATGGCAGAGATCCACTTTTAGGACTAATCTTGTATCAGATGGGATATTCCCTAACTGAATTAACTTAAAGTAAAAATGTTTATTTCTTCCTTATGCTACATGTCCATCTAAAGAAACAGGGAGGCTCTGGTCACAGTCCTTCAGGAAACCTGCCTCGTGCAGCAATCATCATCCCCAAGTCAGAGAGAAGAGAAGGTTACAAAGAGTCTCACAGCAACATTTAAATGATCCAAGTCAGAAGTTACTTTTCACTTACAACTCACTGGCCAGAAAACAGTCATGTGACCACACACTAGAAATATTTGGTGAATAGCATGAATGAAAATCACATTAGGCTTAAAAAAAATGTTGACTTTGAAGAGTCAAAGAAAAAGATCTAGATAAATAAACCTGTAACTCAGGAGTTCATGCTGGAACGAGAAGCTTTCCAAAAACATTATGGGAAGATCATTAGTTTAAGTATCAGTTTTTTTAAATGTAAAAACTGAATACTCTTCGATATATTATTGCACTTAGAATTCTAGTACAGGGCAGCCCCGGTGGCACAGCGGTTTAGCGCCGCCTGCAGCCCGGGGTATGATCCTGGAGACCTGGGATCGAGTCCCACATCGGGTTCCCTGCATGGAGCCTGCTTCTTCCTCTGCCTGTGTCTCTGCCTCTCTCTCTCTCTCTCTCTCTGTGTCTCTATGAATAAATAAATAAAATTAAAAAAAAATTCTAGTATAGGTAATAACAAATGTAGACCAAAATTTATGAACCGAGAGCTTCCCTTTAGTGTTTATAGTAGTGAAAATAAAAGAATGGTTATAAAATTATGATATATCTACATAAAAATATAGGACAGGTGTTGGCAAACTTTCTCTTACAGTGCCAGTTTCAGGCTTTAGGCTTGTGAGCTATATGGTTTCTACTGTGCACAACTTGTGTTGTTACAGTGCAAAGGCTTCAACTGACAATATGTAAACAAATCATAGGGTTGTTTATATTTTGTTTATAAAAACAGGTGGCTAACTGTAGCTCATAGTTTGCTAGCCCTTGATACAGACAATTGCTAGCCCTTGATACAGGCATGTTTTTAAGGCAGTAGGTGAGGACTTGAAATATTAAAAAAATTTAAAACTATAGTTTAAATTCTCCCAACTTCTCCACAAATGGCAAATTTTACTTTAATATTTGGGGAGGGGGAATTCATTTTTAAAAAGTGATTGGCCTGAGTGAGTAATGCAGTCAATTTTTCTATTCTATTTTTGGAAATCTCAAATGATCCCAGATGTACCTGGGGTATTTTCTGAAAACCAAAATCCAAGGTAACTTCTGTGATCAGCAATTATTCAGGCCATTAACATATGCAGCTTTGGCTTAATTTATAGCTTAGTTCAATAATCTTCATAATGATGAAGTGTGCCATCATTCATCACACAGTGTCATCAAAGAAGACTAACTTATGCTTGGAATATTTTTTTAAATAATGAAAGTTATTTAATAATACTTTTAACAAGCAATTAAAAGTTACATTTACCTAACTGTAAAAGTAATTTTTCAGGGTACCTCATCCCTCTATGATGTTACATTTGTCGCTACAGATGTGTTTAATTCTTTACAAGTTGATCCTAGTGAAGCATCTTTTTTTAAATTTTTATTTATTTATGATAGTCACACACAGAGAGAGAGAGGCAGAGACATAGGCAGAAGGAGAAGCAGGCTCCATGCACCGGGAGCCTGACATGGGATTCGATCCTGGGTCTCCAGGATTGCGCCCTGGGCCAAAGGCAGGCGCTAAACCGCTGCGCCACCCAGGGATCCCTAGTGAAGTATCTTTTAATTTATAACTTCTGAGCTGAAAATTAAACATTGTCATAACTTTAAAAAATGTACTTGACTTTTCATTTTGTCTACATTGATCTGCAGTTATGGCTTATTAAAAAAACACTTTAAAAACAATTCTCTTTTAATACTTAGAAATAGGTAAGTCAAATGATTCATGTCTTAGCTGAAAAAACAAGTCTTAAAGTAATCTAATAAAAATGAAATATTTGCAACCCTTCTGTAGTGTCTATATACATATAAAAGTCCTGCTTCGTTGAATTTAGCACAAGTGAATGGTTTTGGAATAATAATTTTGATGGAACAAAAATGATCATGTCAACTGTGAAGTAAAAAAATGACATTATAGAAGTCTACAAACACTTAATGATATTAAAACTTCTATAATTATTATATATAAAGTTATTAATAATATATTCCCTAACTCCTTCTCCTGAGGTAAAATTCCTCAAATTCTATTGATAAAAGAAATTACTGCATCTTTTTAGGTTAAGAAGCTCTCCATTCCAAATGCATATAATCACTGTATGAACAATACATAAAACTATTTAGTACCATCAATGAGAGGGTTATTTGCAAAAAGAGAATTTATTTTAAAAACAGACATTCAATATAAATGCTGGGAACTACACATGTTAGTAAACACTAATTTCAGAGTCAAATCAAACTTCATCCAAATCTTAGCTATGTATCCTTAATACATAGCTAATTGCCTAGATATTTGGTTTCCTCATCTTTTTACTTGTAGCTACAATGAGGTTACTTGTGTCTTGTCACTTCTTTTTTAAAATGTTTAGAATGTTCTTAAACATTTTATTGGATGAAAAACATTCCAATTTCCTCCCTAAAACATTGGAGAGACGCAAAAAGGAGAAAAAAATAATACAAATAAAGATGGCAGATTTTCAATATGAAATAAAAGTAAATCCCACAAAATGAATATAATGCTTCTTAGTGTCATTGAACTGCACTTAGAATAAATCATAATTTTATTGTTAGGTAACAGAGAAGGAACCATGATACACCAAGGCACCTTGGTGGTAGTTCTGAGGCAAACAGTCACTAGAGTGCATCACTGGCTCTCACTGTCATATTAAGGTAGTCTAAGCACCCTAAAGCAGGCACAGGCAAACCACAATCCATGGGCCAAACATTCTTGTTTTGTAAATAAAGTTTTATTGGAACACAAACAGGCTATCATTTACATTGCATCTACGGCTGTTTTCAAGCTACAAGGACAAGTTGAATAATTGTGACCACATGGTCCACAATTATTTACTATCTGGCCCTACACAGAAAGTTTGCTGACCACTGTTCTAAAGCACTGCTACTCAAAGTTTTGGTTTACACATCTGAACTTTTTTGCTACTGAACGGAATGAGATGAGATGGTGTGAGAATATAAACCAATTATGTTACCAAGTACAATGGTCATTTCAACTATTGTTTTCATTGCCAGGCTTTCTCAGTGAAGGACTTATAGTTTGGTTCAGGTTCCTTTTCTCATACTGGTATAAACAGCTCATTGATTAGCTACTTTGAATACCATGACTCTAAAGGTATATAGCCACAGCAGAAGGAACTACCCAAAGCTCAAAGGGATAACAGTGTCATTTAGAGACTTATCTTGGCACAGTGATCTAGGGTTTTGTAGCATTAGGTGATAGGTGTGGTAACTAATTAAATAGGATTCAGAAAATGGTTTTTATAGACTTTCTTCTCTTTACTCTTCCTAAGATTTACATTATTCCAAAAATCTTGTCTGCTATAGATTTATGTTTCAGCAAGGTGAAGTGTAATAACTAAAGTCCCTCTCTCCCTATCTTTTCTTAGTAGCAGGAAAGATGAAAATATTTGACTTCCAAAAACAGCTTTTCAAGAAGTCAGTCAATAATATATTTTGCCTATTTAGCCTCTTTAATTTGCTGAGATAGAAAACTATAATAGTAAATTATATTTCTCTTGAAGTAAAAGAATTTTTAAAGCAAATCTATTCTCTGCAAATATTAACAGTATTTTATCCCATACTTTAAGTCCTAACTTAAAATAAATCATGCATCAATTAAAGAATACAGAATGAAATCCTACTGCTAACTTTAACATGAAATTTCCTTGAAGAAATACACAATCTCTAAAGGCGCCAAAGGTAATTCGACTCAAGTAGCTTTCTGAAAAATAAAATTATTCAGGGACAGATTTTTATTGCAAATATTTACTCAAAAACTATTATATACAGCAGAATTTTAATAGCCATTTAAAACATTTAACATTCAGTGAAACAAAATTTAAGAATTCAAAGCACATTTAGGAAGTAAAAATGTAGCATTTTAAATAAGTTTTTTTAGTACTTTAAAGCAAACTACTGTTATTCATATTATTTATTTCTATATCTATTATTTTCTAGATGATAAAAAAACAACTGAAAAATCAATTTAGCAGCCATTTTATGGATAAAATAGGATATGGATAAATTAGGCTAAATATCCCAAACCAATTTTTTACATCACTGCTTTAAAAGGTCCCATTTGAAGTTTCTATTATACAATTAAAGAAAAAGTCACTTAAACATGGCATGAGCCAGGACATGTTTTCAGTTTACTGCTTTACAATATCTACATTATACCATACTTTGGTTTGGTTTCCAGACCATTTTTATGGGTCTATTTCTAAAGATCATTAAAACAATATTAAAAACATAATAGCTATAGGGGTTTCAACAATGGGTTTCTATTTTATACAACTAGCACATCAAGGATTTCTGCACAGCTTACACACTGACAAAAAGCACAAATATAAATTTATATTTTAATTATTTCACTTTCACTGAAAGTTTAATTAAGGTAAGCTTACAGCCTGGCAGGCTAACACTTGTACGGAGGTACACAGATTGAAATATTCTGTTTACATGCTTCTGACAGTCTGGAATGTTATATTAAATCCAAAATTAATTTTATGTTCATCCGAATGCTCATTGGATCAATTAATTTAGCACTCTAAGCATGCTCCATTTACCAGCATCATACTCAAAATGAAGCCTTCATTAACAATGCCTATCAGCCATTATTTTAAATCAATTATCCCCAAAAGGCATGTGGTTTCCAGATCTTTTCCTTTAAATTAACTGAAAAGTTTAGATAGGTAATAAGAACTTTTAGCTTAGGACTGATGGAAGTTTCAAAAGCTTTATTATTATAATTAATATTCTAATAATCAATTCATACTAGCCACCAAGTTCTCCTCACAAACTGCTAAATTAAGACTTTTCTTTTGCAAACTTAACTTCCATTAAAATCTTATTATGTTTTAAAAGCTTCTTGGAAATCCATACAGATCATGCTATTATCAGTGAACTGATTTAATAACCTGGGTTGAACATACAGGTAAAGTGTGTATGAATGACTTCCTTTGCATTTTTCTCTTTCTGAACTCTTATGTAACAGCACCACTGAGCTCATCTGATAGCACTGCTCCAAATGTTGTTACCGTTGGTACATTAAACTTAGAATGACTAATAAATTTCAACTTCTTTCTTTTTCATCTGCCAGGTCTACTGTTGTCTCTGTTGTGCTAGGGCTATTTTCTCCTGGAACACTGTCAGTTTGATCAGACACTACTTCGTCAGTCTTGGCTGAAGGATCACCACTACCTTTCTGAAGAATTTCTGTGGCTTCGTACTCAAGTACCTCTGATGGAGTCAAAGGTTCTAAATGAATACTGCCTTGCTCACTAACATCAGAACTAACAGATTCGGGTTCATCTCTTTTTCTCAAAAACTGATCAATGCTAACATCAGCAGATGTTAACCGCAAATCCTTAATATTCTTTGAAGAAAACCTAGTTTCACTGGAGTTGGAATCTTCAATCTGATCACATGAAATTATGTTCCCTGAACTCTGACACATCTTCAACTCTGTTTTCTGACAAATGTGCTCTATTTGTTTTTCCTTTTCTACTTTATCTGCATCAATATTTGAGTCGTGACTGAAGATATTCTTTAACCCAGTTTTCTGGTCTTCAAGACAGGTATCATTTTCCTTATTTGAAACTGTTATGCTTTCTTCACTTTTTGTTGCTAATGAGCCTTCAAATGAATTTGTATCACATCCATTTTTTTCTTCCTCTGAAGCTTTATCTTGTTTACTGAAAAAATAAAACCATTTATTAACTATTCCTTCATAACAAAATGTATTTGAACGCTATCAAAATAAAGACATGCTCTTAAAAAAATCGCCAAAAAGGAAGAAAATAATCCAGGTCCCAAGTCCTTGTCATGTTACAGTTTAGGAGTGGCCATTTTCTTAGGCAAGAGAGTGAGAAACTCCAGAGTCACATCTTAAAAAGAGACCTGGGTAATCTATCAAAACTGGTTTTAGTCCTGGTAATCATTGCTTTTATCTGTTCACACCCTTGCCTGTCTTTAAAATCTATGCATTCTTATTAATTTGTATGATTACTTTAAATAAGAAATAAATATATTTGGAAAAAACTTTTTTAAATGATTATATATCCTCCTAGAATGTCCCTCCCTATGCAAAATCAAGTAAGCATTTATAAACATTTCTTTAATTTTTAACATTCTAACTTAAAAAACAAAAACATGCCTAAAATATGTAAATATACAATATCCATACATAAATATATGTGTCTGTAAACATAAATGTTTATGTGTATATGAGTGTGTCTATGTGTTCACTCTTACCCTGGCACGTTAACAGAAGCTACACAGTGAATCATAAAAGATTAGAAACAGTATATTAAAGAGGGTCTCCAGCTCCTTATCTGTTACAATACTTATATCACTAAAAATAAATTTAGTGATTACAGGTATCTTATTTCTTCTATTAATCCAGCCTGGAATTTGGACTTTTTCTGAATGAATTAACAAAATATCAAAGCAATGTTACCAAATGGTCATTTATTATTTATTAAGTTATATTTATATAAGTTAAATAAGTCTGCTACTTATTTTGTTCTAATCTGTCTTTCAATTATTCTTGGGCCAATACCACCTAGTCTTACCAATTATAGACTAACAATGTACTTTATTATTTAATAGAGCAAATCACTTTCTTTCTACTACTTTTCTAAGTTTAATAGTTTAAAAATGTAAAAGACATTTGTACAAGGATGTTCATAAAAACAATGTTTAAATAGCAAATACAGAGGGTTGCCTGGGTGGCTCAGTTAGTTAAACATCTACCTTGGGCTCAGGTCATGATCCTGGGGTCCTGAGATTGAGCCCCATGTTGTGCTCTCTGCTCAGTGGGGAGTCTGCTTCTCCCTCTCCCACTACCCCTCCAACTTGTAGTTGCTCTCTCTCAAGTAAATACATCAGGGTAGTAAATTGAAAAATATAAATCTTCTTTTAAACATCGTTGGTTTCCGAACCAAATCCCATTAGGATTTTTTAACTAAATATTCATTATTAAACTTATAAATTAATTTGGAAATGGCTTATCACACATTAGTTATTTCCTGTCACAGTAAGTTTTCATTTTTCTTCATTTGGATCCTGCACATTTCTCTTTTTTGTTGTTATTGTGAATTAACTCTTTTGTCCATTATATTTTATAATATGTTATTGGTATACTGAAAGATTCAGATTTTTGTACCAACCTACCTTAATTAATACTCTCATTAATTTCATTCTTAGCTCATTTTCTTGGATCTTATAGGTCAGTTACACCATCTGCAAACAATTACAACATTTTCCTCATTTAAATTTACATTATTATTTTTGTTCAGATTTTATTAGACTAACTACAATTTATAGAAAATTTTAAATTATAAAGGGGTGATTAGTCTGCTTTTTCTAATTCCTTTGCTGAATTTTTGTTAACCACTCCCTCTGCCCTCAAATTCTAGGTGAAGAAAGGGCTAGATCATTTTTCTAGTAAAGTCTAAGAGACATCTTCACAAGGCATTATTCCATAATTTTCTTTTCAGGGGCAATAGATTAATTAATCTCATTTGGTTAACAAGCACCCTACACCTTATGCTGTATAGCTGTAAAATACACAGCATAAAGACAGACATGGGGAAATTACTTAAAAGACAAAATTATCTTTATCTATAGAAATTAAGTTCTAATTAGAATGTTAGATTTTATTTTGCTAAGAAATTTTCTAAAATAAGATAAAAATAGAGAGGGAGGCAAACCATACAAAACTCTTAACTATAGGGAAAAAAACAGGGTTGATGGAGAAATGGCATAAATGCGTGATGGGCATTAAGGAGGGCACTTGAAAGGATGAGTACTAGGTGTTATATGCAAGTGATGAATCACTAAGTTCTACCCCTGAAACTAATACTATACTACATGTTAAAAAACTTGAATTTAAATAAAATCTTGAAAGAAAAAATGTCTTGTGGTTTTTAGTGTTGATCAGAGCATTAAATTTTTTAAAGCCAATACCTGAAGTTTGAAACTTTTATGTTAAGGTCCCACCACAGAATGAGCTTTATAGCTTTTGAAAATACTTTAGGAAAAAAGATTTTAAGATTATCTGTTTGCAAAAATTGTCCCCATCTTGTAACTTGTAGGATTCTGTAACTGTTTAATAAGGGCAATTAAAATCTGTTAACATTGTATTTACTAGTAAGTACTTTTTAAAAATTTAACAACTATAAGATGTTTATTTACTTATTTAAAAAAAGATTTTATTTATTTATTCATGAGAGACATAGAGAGAGAGAGAGGGAGAGACCTAGGCAGAGGGAGAAGCAGGCTCCATGCAGGAAGCCCGATGTGGGACTCAATCCGGGACTTGAGGATCACACCCTGAGCTGAAGGCAGACGCTTAACTGCTGAGCCAACAATTAGATGTTTAAACGATGTTTAAAAGATTTCAAAACTAAGGATCTTCAGTATGTTTTTATTGTATGAAAATTTCAAATTTTTATTTTAACTAAATCTAAAATAACAAAATAAAATCTCAATTAACCAAAATAATGTAGGTAAAGTATTATCTTTTTATATACTTCAATTTCAAGAGATTCAATTTTTCCTTATATTTACCTTTCAGAATTTGATGTTTCTTTTTCTCCTTCAGCCATATTAGGTCTTGCAATTTCCTGAAATGATTAAGAATATGTTTCTTTTATATTCATGGTTAAGCTTAAACTACTTTAATTATACTAAACTTTCTGGATTAAAGGAACTTAAATGTGCAACCTAATACAGCAAAGAAATAGAAAAACTATTTATTAATCTGAGGTACATACTATAAATTTTTTTAAATCAAAAGCAGAATTTAAAAAAATCTTTAAAAAATACCTTTAAGAATTTCAGTATACCAGAAGTTTCTGAATCAAGATCATAAAGCAGTTATCCAGTTATAATAATACCTGCTTTTCTTAGACTCTGTGTAAAATATGCCCTATAATGACAATTACTTGAATAGAAAACCAGTAAAACACAATTTGAATTTGAGTAACAAGGTGTATACAAAATATTTTATACAAACATATTAAATATAAACACATGAAACATATCTGAAATTACAATTTCATATTTGGAGTGATGTTAACCCTTCCATTGTCAAACCAAGTAGTATGAGTTGATAGACAAATTAAATATTTTGCTTACTTGAAATATTTTATAGGAAGAAAAGAATATAGTAAAACTTTAGTAAGCCAGAGGCCAGCCTAATAGTTTATAACAATTATCAATTATTAAGCACATACGGTGCTTGAGATAGTATGTTAAGAGCTTTACACTGTCTCATTTAATACTAATAGACATTCTCAACTCCATTTTTAACTCCATTTTTATAATAAGAAATATAACTATGTAGGTTAAGTAGAGAATCACAGGCAATAACCACAATAAATGGTGAAGACTCAAATCTAGGTCTAGCACTTAACCATAGTGATTGAGGCCTGTGAAATTGATAATAGTATACTGATCACATACATTTGTGTTTTTTTACTCTCCTAAAACCCTGCTAAAATGAGGCAGACATAAAACATTTTCATTCATAAAGACCAAAAAAAAAAAAAACCACCAAAGCATAATGATTGTCAATGAGATGTCAACAAATTTTTAGATGGAAAGTGGCTGGAGAAGTTGACTTTGCAGCATGCAAGAAGTTATAATTAAATTATCTGAGCAGGGGAGTGCAAGGAGAAAGGCATCAATTTGCCCAGAGAACTGAAGCAATCTGGTATTTGGAGGAATTCAGTACAAGATCCAGTACATATATAAAAATAAAGCACAAGGACTGATGAGATCTCTAACTGCTCTTTCCCTAACTCACAACAGATACTTATCATTTCCTGTACCATAAAGGCTAAAAGTTAACTTTCTGACCTAGAGACAATTTAGACTTATGAACACCAGGAATGGCAAAGGGCAGCCATGAGGAACTGGGAGAAAACAGAAAAAATTAGTCAAAGTCCATAAACTGAATAAAGGTCCCCACAGTTCTTCCTGCCTGGCTCCTAGAATGCCAGCAGCTAGAGGAATCAGTCTTCACTCTACCACCAACAGCTGGAATCTAGAAGATTCTTCTTTGGAGAAAATTATCAGCCTCAAGACAGATAAGGTTTCCCATAATGACTTTGAAAGCATCTTCCTCACCAAAGAATCAGTCAGCTCAGCATCTGATTTTCCTATGATGAAGTCTAAACAATCCCCATACAGACTGTGCAGATTGTACAGAGCATGAATCCAGGAGGATTAACTAACCTTCACATTTTAATCCATGTCAGCAATTCTCCAAGTGTGTTGCGCAGACACCTCGGACCTCCAAGACACTTTCAGGAGGCAGGTGAAGTTAGAATTCTTGGTACAAAAGCAGTAGTGAACAAACATGCTGGCATCTTAACATGAATCAAGGAAGTGGCATTGAACCAAAACTATTCTAGTAATGACTGTAGTTTTTACTGGCAAACACCAGCAGTAAAATTCACTTTATTAAATATCAATCTTTAAGTTCATGTCTTTTGAATATTCTGTGTGATAAAATAGGAAATATGCATAAAGCACTGCTGTTGTGTACTGAAACACTTGGGTCTATGATGGAGTTGTAAGCTGAACTTTGGCAAAAATTTTTCACAGAACATCATTTTTATTTTAAAGGATGACTGTCAAACTATGAATATTTAGACTTGGTTATTTAGGAGATGTTTTCTTGAAAATTGACAAAATGAGCCTATCACATCAAAGAAAACTGACAGTGATTATTGCCAGCAATAAAATTCAGACAAATATTAAATTTTAGGAAAACTTGTATTCAGCATTGATTAGATTAATGCTGATATTAATGAATGACTTGATGTTATACATAAACATGTCAACACTTGCATGATCTATGTAACTCAGTGAACTAATATTTTTCAAATGACTAATCTATGATGTTACAAAATCATGCATGAATAAAAGGTCCAATCAAAGTGTAAGACAGATCAATAGATTTTAATGTATCAAAGCATAATAACTTTGATATGGAATCAGATTCTACATTGCAAAAAGCCTTTAAGAAAACTTCCACTTGTCTATTTTTGATGTAGTATCAAAAAATCACAATTATTTGAAAAGTACTAGGTAAGGCTGGATATTCTTCATATATTTCAACCACAATAACATATCATGATAGACTGAATGCTGAAACATGAGAATCCAGTTTTCTTCTACATAGTTAGACATTACAAAGATATGTAAAAGGATAAAACAATACCAGTCTTCTAAATTTCTTGTGTTTATAGTTATAGCAAATAGTTCTTTTTCAGAAAAATGTTATTTATGCAACTATATAGGAGGTTTATTAGTTTGATTTTTAAGTTACAATAGTTTTTAGATCTCATTTTTAATTTCTAATATGGTAAATCTAATACTTTTTGAGAATATATGTAAATAGTATCCTTTGGATTTCTGCAGTGCACAACTTGTATGACTATATAAGGCAACCTTGTTCCCATTCAACAAGCTTTCAATGAACTCTGTATTCACTCTTTAGTGTATCAGCAGCCAAAGATCACCATACCATTGAAGACATCCTTTATTTTTTAATTTTTTAAAAAAGATTTTATTATTTATTTTAGAGAGAGAGAGAGAGAGAGCTGGAGGGAGAGGGAGAGAGAATCTGAAGCAGACTCTGTGCTAAACGCAGAGCGTGACTTGGAGCTTAATCTCACAACCATGATATCATGACCTGAGCTGAAACCAAGAGTCAGACACTTAACCAACTGAGCTACCAAGGTGCCTCTGAAGACATCTTTTAATCTTTTAACATCAGAAATAATAAAATAAATAGAAAGGTAATTTTAAAAAGGAGCTAGGAGATAGATATCAGAGGCATTGCTGGGAAACAAGAGGAAAGAAAATATACACTTAATATCCCCAAAGAAGTATGTTATTACATCCACTAAACAAGAACAAAAATTATGAAGAGAGCAATTGAAGAATAAAAATACTAAAGAGCTCTTCAAAATTAAATATATGACAAATAAGTTTAGAAAATCTTTTTAAAAAGATTGAATGAAAAAGACAAAAAGTTGGAAGGCAAGAAAGAAAATACCATACAATTAAAGGAGTGAATGCAAGAAATAGTGTCACATCAATGAGTTGAGACAGAGAGAGAGAGAGAGAGAGAGAGAGAGAGAATGAACAAAGAAAAGCAAAAATTTACCAAAGAACTAATACAAGAAAACTTCCCCAAACATCCAAATTACAAAGGCCTATTAAATGCCTACCATAATGAAAGAAAAAAGGATGACTGGAGAACATATCATGAAATTTCAAAATACCAGAAATAGAGATAATCATTAAGGTTGCCAGAAAGAACAAAAGTACCAAAATGAAAAGAAACTGGAGCAAGAATGGCATCAGATTTGTAAAAAATAATACTTGTAAAACTGCACAGGAAAAATGATTTCCATGTACTTTAACCAAACTATTATTTATGTAAATACAGTTTAAAATACGCAAGGAATGACAAAAGTTTGTTAGAGAACATGTTTTATCAAAATAGGAAGTAAACCAAGAAAAAAGGAACTCCTAGTTCAGAAAATAGAATATCCAATACAATTAAGTAGCAAAGGAAAATCTATGCACCAGGCTTAGAGGTCAACTAGTTTAAACTGAAGGAGATCTAAGAGGAGATATCAGAAATTGTCTCCAACAATTTCTTTTGATGTGTGTGAACATTTGGAAAAAATACTTCCAAATATTAGACAAAAATAATCGCAACATTTAAAAAAAACAGCATTAGGCATGTAGAAAACTAAACAAATGAATAAAGATATATATTGTTTAACTCTACAAAATTAAGATAAAGGAAAAAAATCATAGTAGTATTTCCTGGCTTAATACATAAAAAAGTCTCAAAAATTGTGATGTAACTATGCTGAGGTCAGTGTTATGCCAAGCCCACTGGAACCTGAGATAGAAGGAAAAATACATATCCTTATATACACATTTTTGTGTTTTTTTATTGTGGTAAAATACACATAAAATTTACCATCATAACCACTTTTAAGCGTACAGTTTAGTGGTCCTGAATACATTCACATTGTTGTGTGACCATCACCACCATCCATCCCCATAACTTCTTTCATGTTGTAAAACTAAAATTCTCTAGTCATTAAACAATTAACTCCACATTCTCCTCTTCCCCTCAGTCCCTGACCATCACCACTATACTCTGTCTTTATGATTCTGACTATACTAAGTACCTCATAAGGGGAATCATACTGTAGGTCTTTCTGTGACTGATTAATTTAGCATAATGCATTTAAGGCTTATCCATGTTGTAGCATACTGCAAAATTTCCTTCCTTTTCACAGCTGAATGATTCCATCGTATGTTTAAATCACATTTTGCCTATTCATTCATCTATAGATGGATACTTGGTTTACTTCCGTAGCTTAGCTATTGCAAATAATGCCGCTATGAAAATGAGTGTACAAATATCTCCTTTACTCTCTGTTTTCAATTCTTTTGGGAATACTGAGAAGTAGAATTGCTGAATCATATGTATTTTTTCTTTTGAAGAGCCCCAAAGTGTTTTCCACAGTGGTTGTATCATTCTACATTCCCACTAACAGCACACAAGGGTTCCGACTTCTCTACA